AGCCCACCCCTCACACATACCCACCCACCCACCCACCCACCCACACACACACACACACACACACACAACCACAGACACAACCAGAGAGAGAGAGAAGCCCCAGGGCAGCCGCTCACCTCGTTCCTCTGGAGCTGGAGGAAGCTGTTCAGGTAGCTGGAGCTGAGCGCGGAGGTGCCCAGGTCGGCGCTGCCCTTGCTGGGGTAGCTGAGCTCCGGGTGCTGGGCGGAGGAAGACTCCGGGCGGAAGGCGTCGAAGGCGCTGGCCTGGTGCGTGTCTTGCAAGGAGAGGTAGACCCAGTTGAGCAACTGGGCCGGCTGGTAAACGGAGGCGGCGGTGGTCTCGATGGCCGACAAGAGGCTCATCCTTGCCCCTTCCTCCTCCTCCTCCTCCTCCTCTTCTTCCTCTTCTTCCTCCTCCTCCTCTTCTTCTTCTTCTTCCTCTTCTTCCTCCTCCTCCTCCTCAACCGCCTGGGGACCGCTGGGCTGGCTCCCCCTCTTCTCCCGGGGGGGCGCCTTCCTCCCCCAGCTCCAAGGAAGGCAGGAAGGCAAGCGGGGAAACGCCGCTGGGCTACCCGGCGCCCTCGGGCTTCTCTCCAGCCCCGTCGCAGCTCAGCCTCGCCCTGCCTTGCCTAAAGCGCCCCGGGACCCCCCAGCCGCCCAGCACCGCCCCGGCTCCCCCCCAGCATAGCTGCCGACCCCAACTCGGGCAGGTCCCAGCCGCGGGAGTCGCTGGGCAGAGGCAGAAGTTCTTTGCAGGCGCCTTGCCTTGCCTCCTCCTCCTCCTCCTCCTCCTCCTCCTCTTCCCCCCCCCTCCTCCTCCTCCCGCCGGCTGCCCTGGCCCTCCACCTCTCCTGGCCTGCGAGCCCGACCCGCTATCTGCCTTTATCCTCACTCCCTCCTTCTCCGGGGCGGAGGGAAAGGCTCGCGCGCTACTTCAGCACCACCTCGTTGCAAGAGGAATCAGGGGAAGGAGGGGAAGGGGGGGGGGAGGACGGGCCCGA